GAAAGTAGCATGACAGAGGGGTACAGCGTGAAATTGGCATAACAGAGGGCAACAGTAGAGTAGCATGACAGAGGTACCATGAGAGCAGCATGACAGAGGGTACAGCAGTAGAGTAGCATGACAGAGGGTGCAGCAGTAGAGCAGCATGACAGAGAGGTACAGCAGTAGAGTAGCATGACAGAGGGTACAGCAGTAGAGCAGCATGATGACAGAGGGTACAGCAGTGAAGCAGCATGACAGAGGTACAGCAGTAGAGCAGCATGACAGAGAGGTACAGCAGTAGAGCAAGCATGACAGAGGTGCAAGTAGAGTAGCATGACAGAGGTACACAGTGCAGCATGACAGAGGGTACAGTAGAGTAGCATGACAGACAGGGTACAGCAGTAGGCAGCATGACAGAGGGTGCAGCAGTAGAGTAGCATGACAGAGGTACAGCAGTAGAGCAGCATGACAGAGGTACAGCAGTAGAGTAGCATGACAGAAGGGTGCAGCAGTAGAGCAGCATGACAGAGGTGCAGCAGTAAAGTATATGACAGAGGGTACAGCAGTAGAGTTAGCATGACAGAGGGTACAGCAGTAGAGTAGCATGACAGAGGGTACAGCAGTGAAACAGCATGACAGAGGTACGCAGTAGAGGTAGCATGACAGAGGGTACAGCAGTAGAGTAGCATGACAGAGGGTACAGCAGTAGAGCAGCATGACAGAGGGTACAGCAGTAGAGCAGCATGACAGAGGGTACAGCAGTAGAGCAGCATGACGGCACAAGGGCAACAGATGCATGACAGAGAGGGTGCAACAGTAGAGTAGCATGACAGCATAAGGTACAACAGTGAAATGCATGACAGAGGGTACAGCAGTAGAGTAGCATGACAGAGGTACAGCAGTAGATGGCATGACAGCAGAGGGTACAGCAGTAAGAGTAGCATGACATGAGACACAGCAGTAGAGGGGCAGCATGACAGAGGGTACAGAAGTGGAAGCATGAACAGGTACAGCAGTAGAGTAGCATGACAGCAGGGACAGTAGAGTAGCATGACAGGGGGGGTAGAGTAGAGGGAGAAGAGGTACAGCAGTGAGGAGCATGACAGAGGGTACAGCAGAGCATACAGACAGCAGTAGAATGACAGGCAGTAGAGTAGCATGACAGCACAGGAGCACAGTAGAGTAGCATGACAGCAGAGGTACAGCAGTAGAGTAGCATGACAGAGGGAAACAGTAGAACAGTATGACAGCACAGGTACAGCAGCAGCAGACAGCAGAGGGCAGGCACAGCAGTAGAGTAGCATGACAGTAGAGCAGCATGACAGAGGGTACAGCAGTAGAGTAGCATGACAGAGGGTACAGCAGTAGAGTAGCATGACAGCACAGGGTACAGCAGTAGAGCAGCATGACAGCACAGGGTACAGCAGTAGAGCAGCATGACAGCACAGGGTACAGCAGTAGAGCAGCATGACAGTAGAAATACAGCGGCAGGACAGCAGCGTGGTGCAGGTGTGAGGATGAAGACAATGAATGGACGGTCACCAGGAGGGAAGGCTTGGTGACCCTATGTGTCGAGCACCATACTGCACTTATGGTGTACTCCACCCTATGTGTGTCTCTATACAACATCCAATACACCCCGTATGGCATACCAGCACATTCTTCCACTACACCTGTCATGTGTGTCACCACATATGTAATTTAATCCACAGAACAAGTGTTCAATTCCTTAACACATGTGAATATACACCAGCTACACACGACACACTCCCCCACACACCTGCCTTCCACACACACACCTGCCTCCCCCCCCCCCACACACACACCTGCCTTCTCCACACACACACACCTGCCTTCCCCACACACACCTGCCTGTGCCCATCTCCAAGACCAAGATACCAAGACCACAGGCAACAATAAACAAACAAGACCACAACAGTACTCTAATATACTAACTGGACCTACAAGACCACAACACACTCTAATACACTAACTGGACCTGCAAGATATACACACGCAGTATAACACGCACACCTGACGAAACACACTCGGATATCATCATGGATATATTTCGTATAACAGAGGACAAACATACCACACGGTCAAAGACTCATACAGGACACACAGTATGCTCTTTGATATACTCACGGATATACTGGAACATCCACACATACACACGTTTAAGCTGTGTGCAGGAGAGAGCAGTCGTGTGTGTGTGTGTGTGTTGAGTCACCTGATGAACCACAAACCCTCAAAAAAATAATATCTAACCAATCAGAAAGAAGGTATGTGAAGAACAACGATCTAATAGGACCATGATACGATTAAAAACAATAACATCCAACCAATCAGAAGGAAGATAAAAGAGACGAACGAAGATCTAATAGGAAACGACAACATTACAGCAGAGACAATGAGTATTTCCACACACACACGCACGCACACACACACACACACACACACACACACACACACACACACACACACACACACACACACACACACACACACACACACACACACACACACACACACACACACACACACACACACACACACACACACACACACACACACACACACACACACACACGCGCGCGTAAAAAAACTGACACTAGACAGCTTCTGTGCCCGCTAAGATACCTAGGTTACTGAACGGTGTTACGAAAAAAAATCTTACCTGACAACAATTTTAACTGTAACGGACTGTATTTGTTGATTCACCTGAAGATTAGGCAACCCTAGATTATTTCACCTAAAGGGGTTGTTAAGTTTACGTATCTATAGTCAAAGGTGAAGAAGTCTCAGTGTGATTTTGAGAGAGAGAGAGAGAGAGAGAGAGAGAGAGAGAGAGAGAGAGAGAGAGACTCCTCGGGGTGTCATCAGGTGATAAAGTAAACATTACGAGTGAACAACCCTGCTCCCACCTCCCCTCCCCCTTGGCCCACACCTCCTTCCTTCCTCCACCTCACTACGTCATCCTCCACTATAAACAACACCAACAACAACAACAACAATAATAAAATATCCCCTACTGAGACTTTCATTGTAATCTATCTTTCAGTGTTGAAAAATACAAAATAAAAAAATATATATAACATTTCTTCTCACAGTCACATGGGAGTTACTGTATATTCATTAGTCTATTTTTTCCGAATTCAGTAACATCCACAATAAGTTTCTCATACAATATATACCTATTGTCATTACCAGCTGGCGCCAGCAGGGAACATTGTTTACATCACAACAACAGCTGATCCATGCAGGTGTTCCTTGCTGGGTTAACACCTGACACACACACACTACACTACGACACGCAACACCTGACACAAAACATGTGATACATTGCACCAGTAACATACAGTACCTGTAACACGTAACACATACCATATATAGTACCAATCACACGTAACTACCATTATACACGGGACCTGTGACCACGTATCAGCAGTAACACGTAGCAGGAGCGACACCCACACAACACACCTCCCACGGGATGTGCAACACTTAGAAACTGGAGCACCGCGTGGGAACTGGTGACACCTGCACGTGACGGTGGAGTGTGACGCTAGGGCTGGGTGATGGTATACGAATGTGGGTGACGGTGGAGGAGGAGGATTGTTACGGGTAGATGAGTGTGACAGGAGGAGAATTGTGACGGAGGGGGAAGATTGTGACGGGGAGGAAGATTGCGACTGGACGAGGAGGATTATGATGGGTGTGACGGAGGAGGAAGATCGTGACGGAGTGTGTGACGGGGAGCGGATATAATCTAGACGTGACAATTTCCCCCCCGCGTGACATTTACATGGTCGTCACGTAACCTCTTGGGCCACCAGAGCCACTTTCCCTGCCTGCGGTCAACACTCTACCAGTATAACAAGCACTTTGCCTGGGTGACAAGCAAAGTACGTATCCTTATTACAATCACTGCGCCCGTGTCACAATCACCGCGCCCGTGTCACAAGCACTGAGCCCGTATCACGAACACTGAGCTCGTGTCACAAGCACTGAGCCCGCATCACGAGCACTGAGCTCGTGTCACGAGCACTGAGCTCGTGTCAAAAGCACTGAGCCCGTATCACGAGTTCTGAATTCGTATCACAAGCACTGAGCCCGTGCCATAAGGACTGAGCCCGCACCGATAGCGTGTCACAAGTACTGTGTCAGTGTCAATCATATCTGCCCGTGGCTGCTTCACCTGTCACTACACGACATAACTTGTCAACACCATGTCAAAATAAATATTGTTTTCAATAAACAGCTGCAAGGCATTTTTCTGTGCGGTGTTACAGCCTGCGGGGATCAGTCTGGTAAATGAGGCGTGTGTCGGGGCGCGGGGGAGGGCGTGTGTCAGGGGTAGGGCGTGGAGAGGGCGCGGTGCACACGTGGGGCGGAGTTGGGATACCACACCAAACCAGTCACTGAAGTACACTTTAACACCCCCACTACACCCAGTACACCACCACCACCTCTCTACACCCTCACACTCCCCCAGGCGCAGTACACTCTAGATTACGAGTACAGTTGTCCCCACTACAGAGGACACACAGAGGAAGGGTACACACATAGGGTAACCGGCCGCGGAGGTTCCCCACTGAGCTGGGACACGGTCGCTCGTTGACTGACTGTCTGAGGAGGCGGCCAGTCCAGCGCTGGTGGCTCGCTCTGGCCCCTGCCCTCCCCCCACCAACCACTCCTCCACCACCTACACTTCCTCTCTCCAACACTCCGCTCTCCCACACCTCACCATTTACAGCTGCTGAAGACGAACTTAGTGAAGACTTAGTTGTGTCAGATACGCAAGACACCTCCAGGAAGGGTACCACACAGTACCCGCGTTCCTAGATTTACCAAACTGTTACCAGTAAAGGTCAGAGACATTAGTAAAGGTCTTCAAGAGAGAATTTAACGAGTTCGTACACAAGGTTCGTGATCAACCTGGCTGTAGCGGTTATGTTGCCTTGCAGGGAGGTGGACCGGAGGAGCTGAGGGAATAAACGCCAGGTAGACGCAAGATGAGGTGAGTGGTGGTGGTGAGTGGTGGTGGTGAGTTGTGGTTGTGATGATGGTGGTGATGAAGGGGTTAACGGAATGGTTAGTGATGTGGTGATGTTGGTCTATACAACTACAGGATGTTACACTAGTGATCAATAGAACAGGAGGGTGGATGACGGACATTTGGTAATTGTCGTGTCGGAAGTTTCATTATTTTTACGGAAATGGTATTAAATATGTTAAAAACGTTTCTTGTAATTGAGTGATGGCTAATGGTTAGGTTACGTGAGATCAATACAACAATGGCCATTACAATACCCTCCTAATGGCTCTGACGGACAAGGAGGAGAAACGTTAATGTAGATCTACGAGAGCCGGTGTGTGTGTGTGTGTGTGTGGTGTGTGTGTGTGTGTGTGTGTGTGTGTGTGTGTGTGTGTGTGTGTGTAAATAAACATGAGAAAAGAATCACACCCAAAATATAAAACAAAATTACCCCACCCCCCCAAAATAAACAAACAAACAAACACGGGCTGGGAGGTCAGTTGCTTGGGACCCCACCCAGGTTTACGGGGAAACATTAACAGTGTTGTGATGACGCACACCACAACACTGCCTACACACCTGCCTCTACCACAACACTGCCTACACACCTGCCTCTACCACAACACTGCCTACACACCTGCCTCACCACAACACTGCCTACACACCTGCCTCTACCACAACACTGCCTACACACCTGCCTCTACCACAACACTGCCTACACACCTGCCTCTACCACAACACTGCCTACACACCTGCCTCTACCACAACACTGCCTACACACCTGCTTCCACACCTGTTGGTCCCTATTTAATTCCTATCAACACCTCTTATCTAACATACCGCAAAACAAACACAATCACGTCCTATGGGAACGCCCCAACATGCACTGCCCTCACCTGGTGCACACACACACACACACACACACACACTCAATAAAGGTGTCCAGTGGCTCGGTGTAGAATGATGATGGCTCCGTGAATATCCGCGGTGAGGGTGAGAGGCAGTGAATATCCGCGGAGAGGCAGTGAATATCCGCGGTGAGAGGCAGTGAATATCCGCGGTGAGAGGCAGTGAATATCCGCGGAGAGAGGCAGTCAATATCCACGGTGAGAGGCAGTCAATATCCACGGTGAGAGGTCGTGTGATGATGGATGGCGGAGTGGGTTGAATTGTCGCTTCTGGCCCCAAGAACAATTCACTGTGGGTTCGTTCCCCATTACGCCCAGCACCTCGAAGGGGGGGGGGGGGTTCTAATCCGTGTGTGTGTATTATGTTCTATTACGCTACTGACCTACGCCTCTCTTTGTATGACGTAACAGTATAATTCCCGTTTTCTTTCTACCTTTCGACTGATACTAATTTATTTATCTAACCTTTTATATCTTTCCACTCCCTCGTGTCTCAGTAAGTGTCTGGGTCGTGTTAAATCTCTCTTATTCTCTCTCTCTCTCTCTTATTCTCTCTCTCTCTCTCTCTCTCTCTCTCTCTCTTATTCTACTCTCTCTCTCTTATTCTCTCTACTCTCTCTCTCTCTCTCTTATTCTCTCTCTCTCTCTCTCTCTCTTATTCTCTCTCTCTCTCTCTCTCCATATTATATTATCCTCTCTCAACACCAAATTTTTCTCCCCCTCTCTTTCTTCCACTTCGACTTCACCTCCGCAAAGAGAGAGAGACGCGATGTTATTTGGCCGTTATGAGCACCACCACTTGAGATAGCTGTATGTACGTGTGTGTACGCATCCGTGCGTTTGTGTGCGTGCGCGTGTGTGCGTGTGTGTGTGTGTGTGTGTGTCAGTGTACGTGTGAGTGTGTGCGTGTGTGTGTGTGTCAGTGTACGTGTCAGTGTACGTATGTGTGTATGTGTGTGTGTGTGTGACGTATTACGTGTGAGCGGATATACCGACACTGAGAAGCTGGCAGGCAGTCAAACCGGTAGCTAGGCTTGAGCAGGCAGGCAGGCAGGCAGGCAGGCAGGCAGGCAGGTTGGCAGGCAGGCAGGCAGGCAGGCAGGCAGGCAGGCAGGTTGGCGGGCAGGCGGAGGCGGGCAGGCAGGCAGGTTGGCGGGCGGAGGCAGGCAGGCAGACAGGCGGGCAGGCAGGTAAAGCAGACAAAGCAATGGAATAGGTAGGTAAGCAAGCAGGTAAACAGGACACAGAAAAATAAATAAAATGAGAAGCATGGGAAGAGGCGGAAGAGGAAGAGTAATAACAAGAGGAGGAGGAGGGATGGAGGACGGACGAGGAAGAGGAAGAGTAATAACAAGAGGAGGAGGAGGAGGGATGGAGGACGGACGAGTTTAAGAGGAAGAGGAAGAGTAATAACAAGAGGAGGAGGAGGGATGGAGGACGGACGAGGAAGAGGAAGAGTAATAACAAGAGGAGGAGGAGGAGGGATGGAGGACGGACGAGTTTAAGAGGAAGAGGAAGAGTAATAACAAGAGGAGGAGGAGGAGGAGGAGGAGGATGGAGGACGGACGAGTTTAAGAGGAAGGAAGCTACATTAAACACCTGCCAGAACAACAGGATCCAGCAGCAAGAGGTAACAAGAGAGGCGCGGCCACACTTGTCACTCCCTCTGATCAGCTGGTTGTAAGGCTGCCCCTCCCACCCCTTCCCCACGGCAGCTGACTCCGCCCTCACCTGTGGCCCACGCTACCTGTAGAGCCCTCGCATTTAACTGGCAAGACCGACCCTCTGTCCCCCCGCCATAGAGGCAAATGTCGCTTTTATTCAGTACTGTCGTGAGCACCTTATACTCATGCAGCCAGACAGAGCCACCTCCAGTACCCACCAGCAGCCAGAGCCACACTCATTGCCCACCTGCAGCCAGACAGGCCACCTCAGTGACCACCAGCAGCCAGACAGAGCCACACTCCAGTACCCACCAGCAGCCAGAGCCACTCCAGTACCCACACAGCCAGACAGGCCACACTCCAGTACCCACCAGCAGCCAGACAGGCCACACTCCAGTACCCACCAGCAGCCAGACAGGCCACACTCGAGTACCCACCAGCAGCCCAGGCCACACTCAGTACCCACCAGCAACCAGACGAGCCACACTCGGTACCCACCTGCAGCCAGACAGAGCCACCTCAGTACCCACCAGCAGCCAGACGAGCCACCTCCGGTACCACAGCAGCCAGACGAGCCACACTCAGTACCCACCTGCAGCCAGACAGGCCACACTCCAGTACCCACCAGCAGCCAGACAGGCCACCTCAGTACCCACCAGCACAACCAGACGAGGCCACACTCATGCCCACCAGCAGCCAGACAGGCCACACTGGTACCCACCTGCAGCCAGACAGGCCACACTCAGTACCCCACCAGCAGCCAGACGAGCCACACTCCAGTACCCACCAGCAGCCCTGACGAAGGACAATAATTTACGCCCTAATCTGAAATTGTTGTCCCCATACACTAAACCTCGTTACCACACCCCCAACAACACCACGACACCCACACCTCCATTGTTGCTGTCCCGTGACCCCGAGAGCCTCGACTACAGCTGCTATTACTTGTTAATGACCTTTGAACTGTCTCACCTTCATTTAGTATCAACACACGTATAGGTCTTGTCATGGTCATCAGTATAACTTCCTAAACGGTCCAAATGACCTTAAATATTCCTGTAAATTAATAAGAGTCAGGGAATATCCTTCATGACATTAATAAAATAATGAATGTCCCCCAGGTTACAGAGAGTGAGGTATGCTGCCACACGTGTACACACCTTCACGCATGATTGCTTTATGAAATATTTTTGTTTATTCTGTTGAAAAGGATGAAAAAAAAATGGTGAAAAAAAACATCAAATGCCGAACAAAAATGTTAAAAGTTCAATTTTACGGTACATGGACTCCGCTGACCTCTCATGGTGTGTGTGGGGGAGGTACCTAGATTCACACACATAACACCAACACCATCACCACTATATCTTCCATTCACCATTATAACACCACATGTTCTCCTCAACACCACGTCAAACCTAGAGCACATAACAACACCACGTCAAACCTAGAGCACATAACACCACCACTCATCACCACACCAATACTACACCTCACACCCCCACACACACACAGCCACACCCTCCTCCCACCATCACTATTTACACAATGCAATATACCTTCCTTTCAACACCACACACAGCCACACCACCACACAGCCACACCATCACACACACACAGCCACACCACCACACACACACAGCCACACCACCACACAGCCACACCATCACACCCTCCTCCCACCATCACTATTTACCAATGCAATATACCTTCCTTTTCAACACCACACACAGCCACACCACACACAGCCACACCACCACACACACAGCAGCCATTACCACACACACACAGCCACACCCTCCTCCCACCATCACTATTTACACAATGCAATATACCTTCCTTTCAACACCACACACAGCCACACCACCACACAGCCACACCATCACACACACACACACAGCTGAAACACACCACCACACACACACAGCCACACCACCTACATTGAATGCAATATACCTTCCTTTCAACACCACACACAGCCACACCACCACACAGCCACACCATCACACACACACACTCTCTTCCCACCACCGCCCCTCATACAGTGCCCCGGGTTGTGATGACTCAGTACAAGGGAACTCGCTCACTATATGCAATCCTGACACTTACCTGATGTATACAAGTCATTCAGCATTCTCTTCATTCATGCGGTGTCATGTGGTGTCAGAGGTCAGGTATGGGGTGTCATGTTGTGTCAGGTATGGGGTACCATGTGGTGTCAGGGGTCAGGTATGGGGTGTCATGTGGTGTCAGGGGTCAGGTGTGGGGGTGTCATGTGGTGTCAGGGGTTAGGTGTGGGGTGTCAAGGTGTCAGGGGTTAGTGTGGGGGTGTCATGTGGTGTCAGGGTTAGTGTGGGGTGTCATGTGGTGTCAGGTATGAGGTGTCATGTGGTGTCAGGGTCAGGTATGGGGTGTCAGTGTGGTGTCAGGGTTAGGTGTGGGGGGTGCTGCGTGGGTGTCAGGGGTTAGGTGGGGTGTCATGTGGTGTCACAGGGATTAGGGAGGTGTCAGTGGTATCACAGGGATTAGGTGGTAGGGGTGGCCATGCGTGGTGTGGGGTTCATGTGTGTCAGGTATGAGGTGTCAGTGTGTCAGGGATTAGGTGTGGGGGTGTCATGTGGTCAGGGGAGTTAGTGTGGGGTGTCATGTGGTGTCAGGGGATTAGGTGTGGGGTGTCATGTGGTGTCAGGGATTAGGTGTGGGGGTGTCATGTGGTGTCAGGGGTTAGGTGTGGGGGTGTCATGTGGTGTCAGGGGGTCAGTTATGGGGTGTAGCGCCATGCAGTGTCAGCATTACATAATGTGGGAAGAGGCAAGAGAGCGAACATGGTGAGGTGTGGGCGTGGCGTAGGGATTGGGGGCGTGGTGTGGGCGTAGCGAGGCGTAGAGTGTGTGTGGTACAGCTAGTGTGCGTGCCATGGGGGTAGGGAGGGGGGCGTAGAATGTGGGCGTTGCGTGATGTGCGTGTAGTGTAGTATTAGCGTGGCGGAGGTGCTGGAGTGGGCGTGGCGTGTGAGTGGGCGTGGCAACAAAGGTAATAATGCAAGCCAAGTTCACCTGCCCAACTCCTGGGTGGGCGTGGGGTGGGCGTGGCGTGATGCTGGCGACGCATGGTGTGCAGGTGGCGTGGTAGTAACGTGACATGGTGTTGGAGATGGGCGTGTCAAGATGTATAATGGGAGTGGGCGTGGCATGGGAGTGGGCGTGGCAGTGAGTACAGGTATGCAGGTGGAGGGAGCCAGCCTCTGGGGACATGGCGGCGCTTAGACACTAAAGAGCAAAGCTCGCGACCTACTACAGCCTTCCCACACACTCCACACCTGCTATACATCTGCCTCAACCCTCCTCATCTCTAACATACACCTGCATGAAACACACAACCCACACCTGATCGACACACACTACACACCTGCACACAAATCTCCCAACACACACACACCATCCCAGACCTGCATCACACCTTCCCCCAACACCTGCCACACTAATCACCGACACACCTGCAGGCGGCGTCAGTCCACATAATGTACGGTGGTCACTAGACAAGCGTTAATGACCCGCCTCGGCCTTCTTCGTCAACAGGTGAGGTGGGCGCGGGCGTGTGGGCGTGCGAGGGGAGGAACAACAGCGTTACTTCCCTATCCCCCCCTCCTACCCTCACCCCTACCCTACGTTGAGTCAGCCTAATGCCCACCTTTCCTGACCTGACTAGTGGATGTTGTTTTTCTCCCCCCGTGTGTGTTGGCTTACCGAACACTATGACTAACATTATTTCTCAGTCATTCATGAGTTGTTTTAGATAGTTCAAGTGCCAGGGGTTATTAAGCAACGTTCAATTAAGTTTCTATTGTACGAGTAAATAAGATCTATTACGTATGCTCAAAACGTTCAGTATATAAAGTAGTGTATGGTGTATTTTTCCTCTCTCGTATACTACAGGTGTTATTACTACAGGTGTATGAAAACATTATTACAGGTGTTTCTACCTCTGGACAGGTGTGATAGACGCGTGTTTTAGTAGGCTGACGGGACGAGTTCATCTGTTTTGTGTATGTCAATATTGTTGTGAGTTGTGTACACGAGTTACATGACCCTGATCCAGTACTGTCACACACACACACACACACACACACACACACACACACACACACACACACACACACACACACGGTAATAGTCTTTGTTATGAGGTGGTCACACAGTATTGATCACAACACAACAACAACCTACACGCCTGTACCCCCTTATTCCTCTTCTCCCTCTTAATTTACTCACAGGATCATCACAAACTCCTACGTAAATTCCTCTTCTCTCCCTCCTACGCCCTGCCACACCCTCATCAGTCTCCTCAATCACGCGGCACAGTGGTGGTAGCAATCACACCTGTTAAGTAACCCTCAATCACCAGGTGCAATACACCCAATACATTTTTAACTTACCCGGGAAGACCAATGCGTCATCTACTGCGGGAAGACGGTGGGATAGATACATCGATAGATAAATAGATATATAGATAGATACTTAGATATATATTGAGATACACATGTGCGTGTATGTAGATAAACAGAAAGATATGTAGGTATGTATGTGTGAATATTATACATACATATGAAGTTATCTTTTTACGTCGTACAATAGTCTGCTATGGTCCACCCAGCCGGCCACCTGTACGTACACACACTATGTACACACTACTTAACAGACACTCACACGGGTACCTGTAAACATGTAAACATATCCATAAGACCTTTAAATACACACCAATAGTATAAACACTTACACAGACAAACAAACACTCGTATAAGATAACCACTTAAAAAAAAATGAGGTAACGACGCACTTCTAAAATACTTAACACACTTGGCACGCACTTGAGAGGCTAACATGCACTTCACCTACTACACTATTAATATATATTGACCTTACCTGTAGGTGAGTCACTTTATAAACTCCACCTGCTAAGTGGTTATCAGGTAGAGTTGCATGCATGAGGGTGTACTACTAAGGTGTACTATACTGTGTTCAGGTGTACTTAAGTGTACTGCGTTACAGCTCAAGGACACACGGAGCCGATCCTTACCTGTAACAAAAGAACAAAAACTCGTTAATCAAAATACACTCTCTCTCTCTCTCTCTCTCTCTCTCTCTCTCTCTCTCAATACATATAAACGTGAGAATTTACATTAACAAGTCTATGTATATTGTACACCTACATTATCTATACTGACTATTTATCTATCTACCTATCTGTCTGTCTATCAATCTATTTATCTATCTATCTAACTGTCTGTCTGTCTGTCTGTCTAACAGCAGTAAACAAAACAGAATTAACTACTACACACAATAAAATTACACATTTTAATTAATAGTTCCAGCTTAAAACATGAAAATAATCCCTAATTAAATTGTCTAACTTACAATAATTAAACTTCTCGATCACATAACAATAAATAATTGTAAAATCGGCTTTCATTTAGGTTTCAATTTCACGCAGTTTCATGTTACTTCAACCAGAACCACTATCACCACCATCCACAACCATCTTAACCACCACTACACCCCCCACAAGGCACGGGTGGTAGTAGTAGTGGTGATCTTACTACACTAAGGCCCCAACTTTATACAATAACACTCACAACTGTACACGGGACTACCATTAACATCTTGGCTGGCTGCGGTGGGCCCTGGGGGGGGGGGCAGTGGAAAGAGGGAGAAGGAGTAGGAAGTAAGAAAGAGGAGGAGAATAGGACATATCAAGAAACAATTATTAGAAGAAAAGGATGGAAAAGACGAAAAGAATAAGAGGAAGAATCTAGAAAATGAAGAAAATGAGAGAGAGAGAGAGAGAGAGAGAGAGATTGTGTGTGTAACAGATGGCATGAGAGAAGGACAAAATGTGTACAAACAAAAGAGACAGACAGACATACCATTAAGGAAGACTGACATAATATTGCGCCAAACACACACACACACACACACACACACACACACACACACAGGCCAGAG